GTGTGCTCAGGGACACAGCCCAAAGCCTCCTGTGGTCACTGTCCCTCCCAGGGGGCCCTTCCCCGAACCCCCCCCCAGGCCACACCATCCTCATTAAGCTCACAGATGGCATTCGTGCCCAGGGAGGGCTGACTGTGGGAGCTGGCCCTCGTGGAGCTGAGAGCTGGGGTACTGGTCACCCTGGCAGGTGTGAGCTGACCCGGGGGGGGGTGGCCAGAGCTCAGCAGGTCCCAGGAAGAGCCCAGGACATCTGCTGGCAGGTGCTTGGCCCACGCAGTGGTGGGAGGGACGGGGCGGCTGACCGTTTCCTTCCTTGTCCCGGATCGTGGGGTCTGCAGAAACCAATTCAAATGACAACGTTCGCTGCACTTGTTCACTCATTCGTTCAATGGGTGTCCACCGAGGGCCGACAGGGGCCCCAAGTTGTGCCAGGGTGCAGTGGGGAGCCGACCAGACATGGCTGTTCCCTCATGTACCCTGCACACACCCGTGGGGGGACAGGCCACTGTCATTGGGTCACACAGACATGGCAGCCGGAGAGATCAGGTCTGACCAGGCCCCACCAGAGAGGGCGCTGTGGGACCTGAGGGTGCGGAGAGTGGAGCGGGAGAATGGCACGCAGAGGGCTGGCCTGTGCAAAGGCCCTGTGGCCGCAGGGAGCAGGCGGTCAGCAGGTGAGGGACAGGTGAGGCTGCGAAGTGTTGGATCAGACCCCGGGTCCTCGGGGGGCCTCCTTAAGGAGGGTGGGGAGCCAGGGACACGGCCTGGAAGTCCTTGGCACAGGTGGCTCCATCTCCATCTCGCTGTGCAAGGTCCCGCCCCGGAGAGGGAGAGGGGGAGGGACCTCTGCATGGCTGCGGCTTCCGGGCCCGGGCACGTGTCTCTGTGCATTTCTCTGTTGTCTGTGTGCGTGCGTCCATGCAGATGTGTCTGTGGGCATCCGCGTGCCAGTTACTAATCACGGCCTCTCGGCTCCAGAGCCTCTATTTATACCTGGGGTTGCAGGTGGGTGCCTCGCACGGAGGGTCTGTGCTCTGCGTCGCTGGTACCGGATCCTTCACGGCGGTGGGGCCGCTGCTAGCATCTCCCGCTCCAGAGCGCAGTGCTGCGCGTCCCCAGTAGAGGGCGCGGGAGGGACATGGCAGGAGGAAGGGGCTCTGTGGCCCGGGGTGGGTGGGTGGGTGCTGGCTGAGGGCATGGCCCGGCTCTGCCCGGTGCCAGGTTCATGACACAGGCCCCACCCAACGCCGGCCTGGGCAGGGGCCCCTGCAGCTGGCCCTGGAGGCCCCTGGCGTCAGGCGTCACCTCAGGGACCTCTGGCGCCTTGAGGACGTGGAATTACGGCCCATTCTTTGGGGGAGACTGAGGGCCAGGGATGCCCAGTGCTTTGTCCAGGGTCACAGGGTCAGCACCACGTGACAGGCAGCTCCAGCCAGGCCCAGGGGGACGCTGCTCATCTCTCCTGGGGCCGCGGAGCAGCTGGGTCAGAGCCCCCGGGGGACAGAGGAGGACAGAGGGGGACCGAGGCTCGAGGCGCCGCGAGCTGGAGCCTGGCCCACTTTCCCATCCCCTGGCTCCTGGGAGTAAATTTAAACCCAAACTGGCCTGACATGCGTCTGAGGAGACAAAACCCCAAACCTCAGTCACCATGGCAATGCCGTAGCCATTGCACACGCTCCTTTGCGGGTGCACGCTGTTTTGGGGGTGCATGCTGTTTTGCGGGTGCACACTGTTTTGGGGGTGCACGCTGTTTTGCGGGTGCACGCTGTTTTGGGGGTGCACACTGTTTTGGGGGTGCACGCTGCTTTGCGGGTGCACACTGTTTTGCCGGTGCACACTGTTTTGCGGGTGCACACTGTTTTGGGGGTGCACGCTGTTTTGCGGGTGCATGCTGTTTTGGGGGCGCACGCTGTTTTGGGGTGCACACTGTTGTTTTGGGGGACACTGTTTTGGGGGTGCACGCTGCTTTGCGGGTGCACACTGTTTTGCCAGTGCACACTGTTTTGCGGGTGCACACTGTTTTGGGGGTGCACGCTGTTTTGCGGGTGCATGCTGTTTTGGGGGCGCACGCTGTTTTGGGGTGCACACTGTTTTGCGGGTGCACACTGTTTTGGGGTGCACACTGCATTGTGTGTGCACACTGTTTTGTGGGTGCACGCTGTTTTGCGGGTGCACGCTGTTTTGCGGTGCATGCTCCTGTGTGGTGCACGCTCTTTCAGCCCCGTGAAGATGGGCAGGATCACCATTGACTCGAAGCCTCAGGGGAGACAGTGGCAGAGCCAGGGCCCATCTCCAACCCCAGGCGGAGCCGGTCTGTCCTCTCGTGGGGAGTGAGCTTGCGGGCGGGGCCTGCCCAGCCACCCGCGTCCAGGACCCCCCTGTGCCCCCCCCTCGCTGAGCCCACCCTCCCATTTCCTTTGCCTTCTGCTCCAAGACTGAGACGGTGGCCCTGGCGAGTGGCCCAGCGCCCGGCATTGCTGGTAAAGGGCTCCAGGGCCAGGGTGCAGGCGTGGGGTGGGGAACGCGAGGTCTCCTCCTATGGCGGCTGCTGGGCAGGGTGCGTGGGGGGGGGGGGGGGCTGGGACGCCTTCCAGAAAGGAGGCAACAGAGGCACCCAGAGTCTCAAGGTGCTCATGTCATCGGGTCTCACGCGCCACTTCTGAGACTCGGTTTTAAGGAAAGAACCAGAACAAACCTCTGTGCTTCCCAGTCCGCCTGTCAGTGCAGGGCTCGGGGGGAGGGGGCGCCGTGGCGGCTGCAGAGCGAGGCAAGGTCCGCCGCAGGCTCTGGTGACCTTTGAGACCTAACGTTGCACACTCACACATGCGTGCCTGCACACGTGCACACAGACATGCAGGCACACCTATGCACACATGTGCACACACAGGCACACGTGCACACATGTGCACACACAGGCACACGTGCACACAGACATGCAGGCACACCTATGCACACAGGCACACAGGCACATGTGCACAGAGACACGCTGGCACACACATGCATGCGTGCACACACAGGCACCCACATATGCACACAGGCATGCAGGCACACCTATGCACACAGGCACATGTGCACAGAGACACACAGGCACCCACATATGCACACAGGCACCCTTGGACAAGGTTAACAGTGTCCCCAAAATTCATGTTCACCCCGAACCTCAGGACGGGACCTTATTTGGAAACGGGGCCTCTGCCGCTGTAATTAGTTAAAACGAGGTCACACGTGGAGAGGACACGCAGAGGACAAGGCCACGTGACTCTGGGAGCTGAGGACGCCCCAAAGTGCAGGCAGCGCAGGAGCTGGCAGGGTGTCGGCGGGGGTGGGGCCTGCTCTCCTCAGAGGGAAACGCCTGCCCACAGGGGGGGCTTGGATTCTGGACTGAGACCTGGGGGAGAACAGACCGTGCCCTCTGTCACGGCTGCCCCAGGACACTGACACCTCCCCACACACTCCCCGCACCCAGCCCTCAGCTCAGACTCTGCCTTGAGGGCACCCAGACGATGTGCGCCGTGCGGGTGGGTGTGGCGTCCGCCTCGCTCGGAGAGGAGGTCCGTGCTGTCCCTCCCGGCTACGGTGAGAGGGGGAAGCTGGGTGCCGGCCCTGACCCCCGGCGCCTCCGGCCCCTCGGGCTGTGGGGGAGCTGTCCCAGGGGAGCATTAAGAGTCTACATTGAGCCCAGGCACGTGGCTCAGGGGTTGAGTGTCGACTTAGGAACCAGGAGGTCACGGTTCAATTCCCAGTCAGGGCACAGGCCCTGGTCGTGGGCTCCATTCCCGGTGTGGGGGGTGCGGAAGGCAGCCGATCAGTGATTCTCTCTCGTCTGATGTTTCTATCTCCCTCTCCCTTCCTCTCTGAAATCAATAGAAATATATATATTTTTAAAAGAGTACGTTGATACTGTGCCTTCCAGACCCCACCAGGGACACAGACAAGGAAGCCCCGGCACCCAAAGTCCAGCCCCGCTGACAGGAGGCGCCTGGGGA